AACACTGCTGTGTTTTGTATGGTGAGTGTAGAGAACCGGAGACCCTTTTTACTGGAATAGAGGCATTCCATCTTAGTCCTCACGGGTGACAACGCATCTGCATTTTGATTCGCAAACGAGGATAAATGTAGATACCAATGGCCACAGCAACCACTTACCATCTGTGTGCTCGTTTGTCACCCTATCCTGTAAAAAAAAGTTAAATCAATTTTTTGTAATAACGGCCGCAAGACCGAATTTCGGTCATGATGTGACCGTGTGGTAGTGAAGCCGTGAAGCCACGTCACCCTACAATGGCTAGTGGCCACGTGTGAATATTCACTACCCCAATCGTCCCGGGAATGTCGTAAGAGGCGACAAAGGGAAGCTATAACAGGAGATGGGCAGCCGCATATCTCTGATAAAACTTAAAATAATAAAAAACTACGGTTTCCAACAAGCCTGGCAAACGTGGCAACTATAGCAAAATATCCTTATAAGGCATCAGGTTTTTATGGCTGCATGGATCGCCAGTTTCTACGGAGCCATCTGAGCAGGACAGGATTTGAGTGCCTGAGAGTGTGCGCTAACACTCTCATATAATTAATCCGGCATATAAAAATTTCGGAGCAGTTTTATAAAATATGTAAATTATTTTAAAAAAATATTTCAATACTTTAAAAATACAGGTGCATTGAATTAAAAATGTCCAGGAATTGTTATAAAAATAATCTATGAAAATTCGTGCATCCAATCGAAATTAATCTGAAACTGTTCTGGTCTCTTATAAAGCAAAAAAGTTCGTCCTAACTTTTCCATAATAATAAAATTTAATAATGAGATGTCCTCTAACGGATCTGAAATTAGTAGTATGATCGCTGCTTCTCTTCGGTTTTATTACTCACCGGTAGCCGATCAAAGTTTAACTAACGAAAAAGATATTTTCTGGGTTTAATGTGACTCATACCTGTGCTCATACTATTAATATACCTTGAACTTTTATTTTCAAATAAGCCAATACAATTTCAAAGGCGATATTTACTAAAGTTTGAAGAGAAGCGGTGTTTAAAAAAAAAATAATAATAAAGCCCTGTATCAATACATTTGTTTTCAGTAAAGTATTTGCGTCGCTTCTTTTTCCAATACTCTTTTTGCAAACAAAACATTCTATAGCGTTTAGTAAGCATTTATGATTTATGAAATCATGATCCAGAACAACTAATTTAACCTGCTTTCTTTGTAACGTGATTGATAATGTCGACTGTGTGATTTGTACAGATGTATCTTAATACAGATTTTAGCAAAGCATTTGATAAAGTACTACTCTTACTCAAACCAGCTAATAGTTTGCTGAATTTGTGCTTTTCATATCTTGGTAGTCGATTCTCAATGGATAAAAATGTGATAGATTCCCTGCATCAATCACTTCACACACAACTCAAAAATTACACAAATTTTAGTCATTAATATTAATGACATTATTTCGTGTTCCCTTCAGGGCTCAGAAGAGCTAGAACCCAGAGCCGTAAAGCCAGTTTAAAAAAAAGTGTTCCCTTCACTTTAAAGTTTAACTATTCGCGGAAGTGTTAAAAATTGTGTAAGCTGCAACTCACAAAGCCAATTAGTCCTGCAAGAAGATTTGAATTGGTTTAGCAGTCGATGTGATATAAACCACATGCCTCTAAACATCAATAAATGCACACATATTCCATTTACAGGAAAAAATACATGCTTGCATTGTCTTCTCTACCATAACACATAACAAAATACTAATCTTATCAGAGATTTAGGTGTTTTCAATGACATAAAATTACAATTTGTCACGCACATCGTGTTTAATTTACACAGTGTCTATTCTCACTTTGTTTTAAACTGTTAGATTTTATCCTCCGAAACATTAGAAACATAAAAAATCTATCTTTGATAATAAAGCTTTTAATATTTTAATTAGAAGTGGCCTTGAGTATGGCAGTCCAGCGTGGAATCCCTACCACGGAGTTTACATCAACCACATAGTATTATTGTAATAACGCTTCCTTTGCATCTGTTATCACTTATGAGTCTAAATTAGTTATAAGATTACGTACAGTGATAGCGTAGTTAAATCATCATCATCTTTACAGACTATCAAAGGTCCACTGCCGAACATTGACCTCTACTACAGATTATCTCTTATGGGTTTTGCGATAGTTGCCACACCTTTCTTTTTTTTTTACTTTTTTCAGTCGTTTTTAGGAAGATGTCTCCTACACACTTGGGATGATCTGGGGAAGTTGATATTCTTACGTCACTACTATACGGCAACATAATTTGATTTTCATTTTTTGATTCCGAGCTACCACGGCTCTACTTACAACTATATTATTTCGACTATATTATTTTCCACTATAGTTATATTCGAAAATAATATAGTTGTTATCAAAAATTAAAGTCATGAATATGTGTATTTAAACTTTAAACTAGCTTACGTAAACGTAAGCCAATTGTTGAGAATGACATTGTAAAATAGCCATAATTAATTTTCTATGTTTTGTGGTACAGGCATTAGCATAGCATCAACTTGGCATTAGCATAATAGTGCCATTTAATTTCATCTTGCGCAACCGAATAAAATAGTTACTTTTAACCATTAAGTTTTACTGTGTATAATAGAGGAATTATAATTATGTGTAAGTACTTAGCAGTCATTGTTGATATTTCAAAAATAAATTTAGATACTTATCTTAATAATAACTTTTTATATTATTAACAATTTAAATGTACGTTCTTTTTTTGTAAAACGGATATGATATTGAAAACCTGCAGCCAACTTAATTTGTATAAACAAAGAAAGCAACAAATGCGCTGTAATATAGAAGATAGAAGAAAAATAGATGCCATCAAAAACATAACTTGTAAAAAAAAACCAAGTTTCGCAACTCAGTTCTTCTACCGTAAAAAGTTGTGAGTTCCATGTAATACCAAGTCGGTTAATTTATTCAGTCCCTACTTAAGGGTCCTTCTGTCTCAAATTATTACGTAATTACCTAACCTAATAACATCTTATAGTGACCACATTAATATTAAAAATCTTTTATTTTTTAAATAAATAGATTGACTTGGCCATCCCATGAAAACACAATATATCTCATAAGTAATATATATTATATTAAATAAGATTGTTTAGTGCGATTGCCAAGTCAATCTATGCTAAAATGTTGTTTTAGAAATGTGACTGTTTTGAATGTGTTTTATTCATGAGCATGTTGTTTTATTAAAAAATTGTTGTATTTCATTTTAATTCTTTAAAGTATTTATTGCGTTGGTGAATTGCGTATTACTTTTGTTCCAATTCATTTGTATTGCAGTGAGTAATACGTTTTTAAAATTGTTATTTTTAAATTTCATCCACTTTCATTTTCATTCCACTACACTATTTTGCAGGCCTGCAGTGGAATGAGATTGATATTTCACTTCACATAGACTTTCTGTCATTCAACAATAATAATATCCTAAAAATCCTAGATCTATACGGTATGGGTTCTAAGCCGCTCAGTATAGATACGCAATCGCATAAAAATGAAAAAACAATCCAAAAATTCATGTTTTAAATTTTGTTTTGGTCGTCCTGTAAAAATGAAGGTTTGAATTTGTATCCGCTTTGTATTTAATGAGTTAAATGTCTATGGGGTTTAACAAAAAGATCTTACGGCTTCCGATAGACGATGGTCTAACCGGCAAAAAAAAAGGCTGGTACGGCCTATCACGGTTGGATAATTAAGGCAAGTCCTCTCTACAGTTGGAGAGGCCCAGCTGTAGACTATTATATATTGCTGAAGAAAGGATGAAGAAATCAAACGCGACAAGACAAGTTAGAAGTAGAGTCGGTAGAACCTGTCTTTGCTTTCTCGTCCTCTTTTGAAATGAGCAAATTTTTCACAACTTTTTACAGTAGATGAACTAAGTTGCGAGACTTGTTTTTTTTTTACAAGTTATGTTTTTGATGGCATCTCATTTCTTTTTGTAGATAGTCCATCTTTTTTTCTTTCCGGTAGCATCTACTTCTTGAAAACCAACTAGGGATTTTCGGGCAATTTAGTCTACGTAATATTTTGCGGGATTTTGGTACAACTTAAAAAGACACATCTTGCTTTTTATATACAAAACAATAATTGTATTCTAAATTTGAAGCTTCTACGTCTGCTAGAAGTGCCTTAGAGTTTTGATGATCGGTCAGTCAGTGAGTGACAAAATTGAGAAACTGACTAGTTATAATTCTTAAACTACTGGTTCAAATTGAATAAAATTTGAAATATAACGTGTATATACAATGCATGCTTGGTTACTGAATTCAGGCTTTTATTTTTATCTACAACGAAGTAATAGGGGGTCGAAAATGGCCTGAACTGCTTCCAGTAAAGGATGGTACGGCTGTGCCGCATTTTTGCCTGACTTGGCGGGGGCACTGCCCTGCCCTCAGATAGACTTACAGTATGTAATTGTACTGGCTCTCTTTACAGTTCAGACCGAAATAGGTAAAAAGGTGATATCATCTCAGAGAAATACTAGGTAGAAAAGGAGTTCTACTACCCAGTATTAAGTAATAACTATTTTAATCTGAAATAGCGGTTGGATTACCCGGAGCCTGTAATTGAATCTAAGCCGGGCCAATTTTTCCGCATAAACTATTACTCATTAATAGAATCAGAGGCTACTTTTTGACCTTTATGGCAATTCATTATATTAAAGATACAGTCTGCAGACGTCCCATTGATGGACACAGGCCTCCTCCCATTTCTGAGAGGTTCAGTTGAAGATAATATGAGAATGATATGGTGACGTTTAACAAACGTAATTTTAATTTCTTTTGTCGAAAAAAAGTTTTTATTGTATTTGGGTTGAGTATATTGAAACCACATTACTACTATAGTGGAGTCCCTAACACAGGTTGTTAATTCATACCATGTGTAACAGTGGACTATTTGCGGTCTGATGATGATTCAAAACTGATTTCATAATACTTCTTTTATCCTTTTAGGGCAATGGAGTACATATATGAAACCGAAGATACTTACGAATCGATTGGAAGACACTATGCTGGTAAATCGGTTTTCATTACCGGTGGTACTGGATTTTTAGGAAAGGTATTATGTCACAATTTTTTTCACCTATGCACTAGGTTCTTTTCATATGTCATAAAATTTTTAAAGTATAATGTATTAAATATATAAATTGCACATGGAAAAAAATATTTAATCAATATTTGTAGGCCATACAATAACTTGTTTCGTGCGGGATTCAAATCTGCAGCCCACAGCGTCGCTGATAAAATGTGACTTACTGAGCTCTCAGACAAAATTTTATCCTCAATAGGTTTATGTATAAAAAGTACCTACTTTTTGAAGCTCATGTACTTATTGTAGTGCAGCCCCCACGACAATATTAAAAGTGATAAGTTTTTAATAAAGAGTAGTCCAATTAAAGTCATAGCCTGAGTAACACGTCTCCTTCTCATTAACGTTCTACTAATATGACATTCTTATTTATATATACCAATTTACATATTATTTGTAATGATACAGATTTTTTATATTTATCTTGTTTAATGTATCTGTGTGATAAAAGAAAAGTGTTTGTTGTCTTGCAAGACTATGTTGTGACCAGGATTAAGGAAGGAATGTTTTGATGTGACACGGATAAAGAAAGAATGGAAAGAGGCTAAGCAAAATGCTGCAGAAATAAGTGGCAGAGTCGGCAATGGACACCTGAGATGTATGTTAATCCCTTTTTACTGGAAAAAACATTCCATCTTAGTCCTCACGGGTGACAACGCATCTGTATTTTGATTCGCAAACGAGAATAGATGTAGATGTCTACGGGCCACAGCAACGACTTACCATCAGGTGGACTGTGTGCTCGTTTGTCACCCTATCCTATAAAAAAATCGACCAAATTTGCGATATTTTTAGGTTGGGCCAAATTAAGAGTATAAAAGAAATTAGCATAAGATGTGGTTTAGTATCGTGCCAAATGAGAATACAAAGTCTCTTCCTACCCCTCTCAGAGACAGTAGGGAGAATGAATTAATTACTAATTGGACGTACAAGAATTTTTTTTTAATGAAGTAACCTATCAATAGAAACTTTGAAATTAAAACATTACCTAAATACAAAATTTTATTAAAATTTTAGAGCTGTGGCCCTGAAACCAATTAAGTATTATATACATATTGTATAGAAGTTTTCACTTATACATTATGAAATATGTGTATGTATGTATAAATAATATAGTGTTCTCAGTAACTCATTGAGCCATGGTAGCTTACGGAATTAGTCCTTGCTATTTAATTTCATAGTATGCAAGCAATCCAAGTTCGTAGTTAGATTCCAAGCCATGCCAATGAAATTGTCCATTGCTATTTACAAGTTAATTAAACAAATCCTCGGCGTTAAAGAAAACGTCATGAGAAAACCTTAACGTCAGAGAATATAAGATTACTCCTACGACAGGGAAAATTGCAGATAATGCTGCTGTGTTTGGTATGTTAAGTGAACCGGAGAATCTTTTTTACTAGTATTGAGACGTTCTATTTTAGTCTTCAGGAGTAAAAATGCATCCACATTTTGATTCTTAATTGAGAATAGATATAGCTGTAGGCCATAGACCACAGAAACCGCTTTCATTAGGTGAACTCGATTTTCATTTGTCATTTTGCACCCTTATTCCATTACAAAATGTATTTTCTTTTTTAGGTTTTTGTCGAAAAATTATTATACAGCTGTCCAAAAATAAACAAAATTTATGTACTGTTACGAGAGAAAAATAAATTGGACCCTTTTGAGAGAATTAAACAGCTATTGGAATTACCGGTGAGTTTAAATATTTAATATTATAATAACCATTTTTTCACAAACTTTGTTTAATTTAGTTCTTGAACTTTGAGAAGGTCAAATTTTGTATAGTTTTCTGGAATTTTATAGTAAAAGCGTATTACATCTCTCCAAGAAAATGTCCGTTCTTAGTATTTACAGAATGAATATCCCTTATATTTTTAAAACCTCTTTTTATTTTTGTACTCATAAATTACATTTTCGAAAATGTATTGAAAGGCCAAAATTAATATATTATCAAATTTTAATTTTTAAGACTTGGAAAAGTTTTAAGACAGAGTGGACAGGGGTGTTTTATGGAAAATGCTGGTCACGTTTGAACTTGATAGTGAGCAAATACAGTTATTAAATATCTTTAAACGGACTCCAATGCTGCATCTCACAAGATTACCGGGACACGGGCTGGATTGGTACCCATAAGGCTGTTGTTGTCAGGGTTGTGTAGCATCCCCGTGGCTTTTCATTCTGTTTATAGACAGTTGTTTGGAAACTTTAAGACTCGAAGAATGTTAGTTGAGAAAGAGTGGGTTAGCCGTCTATTGCTTCTTGTACGCCGACGAATGATAACCATCATTTGAAACTCGTTAAACAATAATTTAGGTTTTAAAAATTGCTTGAACTTGACGGGTCAAGTTCAAGCAATTTTATGTTCTTAAAATTTCTCTATCATAATCTAGCTGCCTCTGGCACTGCGTCGCGCGCCTACGACCTCCGGATCGAATCCCAGCATATCGCTAAAAAATTTCTCAAATTCTCAATAAATTTATTTTAGAAGTTTTGAATTTAATTTGACCAAGAAAGGCAATATCTAAACACAAATTATTAGGATTATTTTCAAAAATGGAATTCGTCAAAGAATGTGCGGCTTGTTTGAGCAACTCAAAGGATGTTACTGTCCTGCTCTGTTCACGCTGTGCTGCAAATTATCATCTCTTGTGCATGAACATTAGTTCAAGATTAGCACAAGATGTCGCAAGAAGACAAATCAAACTGGATTTGCGTACAGTGCCGCTGCGAGGAACGTAAAAGCGACAACACAAACACTCCAGTTCGTAGTAACCTGCCCCCGTCGCCGAAGCTTGATTTCGTTACAAAGCACGGCAAGGCATGCACCATTGCTACAAACTGTTCTTGTCTGTCGGCTATTAGCATTCGAGGCATCATCCGCGAAGAGTTGCAACAGTTATTCAACCAACAGATTCACCCGCATCTTTTAGAGGTCCAAATCGCAGTGTCCTCCCTCAAAGCATCTATGGCTCATTTTAACGAGGAGCTTGAAAAAAATCAAGGCTAGCAATGCCGCACACGTAAGCATGATTGAGAACCTAAAATCTGAGACAGAATCTTTGCGGGCAAATAATCTATCCTTATCGTCACGAATAGCCCAAATAGACCAACAATCACGCAGCTCAAATATTGAAATCCAGTGTGTACCTGAAAATAGGCAGGAGAATCTTATCAACACTGGAGTGCAACTGGGCAAAGTTATAAAATGCCCAATCACTGAGTCACATATTCATTACTGCTCTCGAATAGCCAAAATCAATAGCTCAAGTCCTCGCCCTCGATCCATCTTAGTGAAATTCGGCAGTCCGCGCCTGCGCGACGATTTTCTTGCTGCGACCGCACGTTTCAACAAAACCAATCGGGACGACAAACTCAATTCGAGCCACTTAGACATCGGAGGAGATAAGAAGACTGCTATCAAAGTCATGGAGCATCTCTCCCCCGAAAATAAGAGCCTGCACACTGCTGCGCGTACCAAAGCCCGCGAACTGAAATACTAATTTGTATGGGTGATGGTAGGATATACACGCGCAAAAATGAATAATCAAACTATGTTCATGTAAAAAACCTCGACCTTTTGAATCGTTTGTCATGATTACGCTATATTTGCTATATTTATACTAAAAGGCACATTTACTTGTTACCACAAAAATGTTAAGGGTCTGAGAACAAAAACTATTGAACTGTTTAATAATGTAGTTTGTTGTTATTTTGACATTATTGTTTTCACAGAGACATGGTTGAATGGCACAATTTTTGATTATGAATTATTTGATGACCGTTACACGGTCTACAGACGTAACCGCGAAACAGCGGGTTTCATGGTGAAAAAATGGAGGTGGTGTTCTCATTGCTGTCTCTAAACGCTTTAAATCATGCCGTTTGTATGTGCAAGAATCAGATTGTGAAGATTTATGGGTTAAAGTGGAAATATATGATAGCTTTAATAAAGACAAACACCTGTACATCTGTGGTGTATATATCCCTCCTCCAGTAAAAATGCATATATGTACTTAAGCATGTTATTAGTAATGCCAATCGCATATTAGAAAACCACAGTGGAAACACTATTATACTTGGTGATTTCAATTTGAGTAGCTTATGTTGGACTAAGACTGTCAGTCACACACTCAAACCTGCAACATCCAATAGTCTACTCAATAACATGCTTGTTGATTTCATGTCTCTTAATAATCTAGTTCAGCACAATTTCTGTTTTAACAATAAAGACAAACTGTTGGATCTGATAATGAGTACATTGGATATCACCCGCCTTCACGTAAGTACCGACATATTATCGGTGATTGACTTGTTACATCCTCATATCGAATTCTGTGTGGAACTTAAATGTGACAATTATCTCCTAACCAAGCACGAACCCAAATTTATGTTTTATAAAGCAGATTATAGTAAGATTGTAAATGAATTGAATAGTATATCCTGGGAAGACGAATTGTCGCGTTATGAAAACGTAGATGACATAGTAGCACATTTCTATAAGGTACTTCAATCCATCATAGTTAAACATGTACCCAAGTAGGATTGTATTGTATTGAAGTAAGGATTAGGGGCGACTAAATCTAGTCCAGTTTAATCCTCAGAAGACACAAGTTTGCGCGTTTACCGCTAAAAAGAACCCCTTTGTCGTATCTCCTCAGTTTCAAGGTACTCCCATTATTGCCTCAGCCAGTATCGGAATCCTCGGCGTCGACATATCGAGTGACGTGCAGTTTCGTGGTCGCTTGGAAGAGAAGGCCTAATTGGCCTCTAAAAAGCTTGGCGTGCACAGCAGAGCGGGACAGTATTTATTTTATATACTTTTTTAGTTTATTATCTTTGGACTGGGGCTCCCCAGTGCCAGCTCCTTCCACTTGACCGCATCCAGCGCAGAGTGCCCTAAATCGTCGATGACCGAGTCCTTTCCGATCGGCTCGACTCATTGGCGCTGCGAAGAGATGTTGCATCTCTTTGCATTTTCTTTCGCATTTACGACGGGGAGTGTTCTGATGAATTGTTCGGATTAATCCCAGCCGCCAAATTTCACGAGCGCACATCGCAGCAGAACTCCCGATACCATCCACACCATCTGGATGATTGGCGGTCCACCACTGTGCGATTTAGATGTTTTCTTCCTCGCACCACTTCCTTGTGGAATAGTATACCACCAGCGATTTTTCCGAACCGATACGACTTAGGGACCTTCAAGAAAAGAGCCTACTCCTTTTTAAAAGGCCGGCAACGCCTCTGCAATTCCCCTGGTGTTGCGGTTGTTCATTCATCGGTAGTCATTTACCATCAGGTGAGACGCATGCTCGTTTGCCCCCTCTTCTATAAAAAAAAAACCTCGTAATAATAAGAAATACCCCATATGGTTTTTAAACACGTTAATCAAGGTAATCAAGGAAAAATATAAATACAGATCCAAACACCGTAAGTTTAATAACCCTCGGGATTTATTGACCTTTGAACTACTTAGAGATAGATGTACGAAATAACTTAGCCAGAATTATAAAACTTATTTGCTACGATTAGAGACATCTTTGAAATCAAATCATAAGCTACTGTGGGGTTTCATTAAGCACAAAAGAGGCAGTTGTAGTACCTACCCAGCCCAAATGTCTTCTGGAACTACTCTTACCACTACTGGCCTGGATATCTGTGAACTCATTGCTTCGAAGTTCTCTTCAGTCTACAATATTTATAAACTATCCATTCCAGACGACCGCTATGCAGATAAATCCCCCACCTATAACTTTATTACTAGTATTTCAGTGACTAAAGACCAAGTATTTAGGGTCTTAAAGAGACTTGACTCCACTAAAGGCGCTGGCTCAGATGGAATACCATCAGTCTATCTTTGTTGTAAGATGTGCTGCATGTAGTTCACGCCTATAAAAGAGGTATAACTGACCATTAAATTATTTATTGTCTACTCTTAGAAAGTTTGTAGTGTATTTATCTTGTTGGTGTGACAAATAAATAAATAAGAACCCACTCTAATTAATCCATCTTAAATTTTATAAAAAAAAAATATATATTTTATATTACTACTTTGAAAAATGAAACGGATAAAATTAATTTTACGTGAACGTCCGGATGTTGATTTTGTATGTGGTCACTGTAAAATTGACGTATCGAAACCGTGTTTTTCTTTATTAGCTTCAGAACTACATCAACTGGTCCCCTATTTCATAACAATAGCCTAACCTACCTAGCCTAAGGGTAGTCTGTTAATAAATAAATGATATTCAACTTGTATAAATTTTATTGCTATTAAAAATTTAAAGCCGCTTTCATATATTTTTTAGCCATTGACAGAACAAGACAAAGGTACCATACAGCCTTTACCGATTTTATAAACATTAATAATTTTACCCCTGTAGGTGACACTACAGTTGGAATAATATAGCGCTAAATTTAGAACTCGTAAATAATATATTTTAAAAGTAAGAAATACAATTTATTTTTTTCATCAAAATTAAATGAAACGATCATGAGGCGTGAACTTTTGGATTTTACAAACTATTTAGTTACTTTAGCCGAAAAAATTTTGTTTGGTGCCTAGTTCATCGTCTTCATAATCTACGACATACAAGGCAAATAACACAGTTGGATAATTATTTTTGTTAAACGTTTCACATTCTGGTAATAATTAATCAAATTTGAACTTTAATATCCAGCATGAAAAATTACTAAAAATTAATTTTTGCAGATGTTTGATAGAGCTAGAAATGAAAGACCGGAAAACTTTGAAAAAGTTGTGCCTTTATCTGGAGATGTAACTCTGCCTAACCTTGGTATAAGCCAAGAAGACGAACAAATGATTATAGAAAAGGTAACAAAACAATTTTACAAATCTTGCCATAGTTAACTACATTACATTAGAATATCAAAGGTTGGTTGCTACAACGTCAACACTAATTACGTAGCATTAGCAGGCAGGGGTTATTCCGTTTAAGTACCAGATTTCAATATATATTATTTATATATTTATCTATTTTTTATTTAATTATACTAGCGATCCATCTTGGCTTCGCATAGGTGATTTCTAGATCTTGACCACAAATCCAATAAAAGTTAAGCACTATTCAGATTAAACCTATACGTAGGTACCTTATAAAAATTATATCAAAATAATTTAGGAGGAGAAGAATTACGAACATTACAACACGTACACCATAATTTTGTTATACTGATAATCTTACAGTACAACAAGTTTTTTTTATATAGGATAAGGGTGACAAACGAGCACATAGTCCACCTGATGGTAAGTGGTTGCTGCAGCCCCAAGAAATCTACATCTATCCTCGTTTGCGAATCAAATGCAGATGCGTTGTCAGCCTTGAGGACTAAGATGAAGTGCCTCTTTTCCAGTAAAAATGATCTCCGGTTCTCTACACTCACCATACGAAACACAGCAGCATTAAGCTGCTATTTTGCGCTGGTATTCTGTGAGAGCGTGGTCCTTCCCCGGTCGAGCTGACCCATTAATGCTACAACTATATTTATAGCTACAACATGGCTCTTCCACGTATAAAAATCTAACATTGGATTGTAATTACTGATAAAACTGTTGACTCTCTGATTAATATACTTACGTGGTAAAGTTGAAATTTCTACTTTCTCTTGAATGTAAACTATTAAAAAACTTGTGTTCCGCTTATTTTTAATGCAAATACGAAATAATGTCTATTTTTGTTATGTATATTAAAGTCAATGAATTTCAGGTAAGCCACGTATTTCATTTTGCGGCAAACGTCAAATTTAACGAGGAATTGAAAGTGGCCATGAACATTAACGTAGAAGGAACAAAAAAAGTGCTCAAGTTGTGTCAGCGCATGAAAAATATCAAAGTAAGAAAATATCATACATCATAGTGCTTATATGACCCGAAATGATAATAGCATTGACTACTTTGCTTGGGTTTTAATCTAATATCTAATTTACGACACACAGGATTTCATTTTAGATTTGGATAGTAGTAAATTCCACCAAAAACATAGTTTACAAGTTCAGTACACACAACGTTAGGAATAGTTCAATGGTAAAAGATTTGAGATCTAAACAGGCACCAAGCTCTATAGCAGTCGTAAGAACGTTGTACATTTCTATAGATCCTATGAGTTATGTTTGCTGCATAAATCGATACCTTTTGAATTATGGAAGATTTTTTTATAGGATAGGGTGACAAACGAGCACACAGTCCACCTGATGGTAAGTGGTTGCTGTGACCCATAGACATCCTCATCTATCCTCGATTGCGAATAAAAATGCAGATGCTTTGTCACCCGTGAGGGCTTATATACAATACCTCTTTTCCGGTAAAAAGGGTCTCGAAACCATTCGCGTAAATATATATCTAGTGCCGGTACGTGTGTCTTTTCTTTTCCAAACTTGGCTGACAAACTACCATTTGACTAGACTAACTTCGTTTCTCTTTATATTTTTCATAACAAAAACTTTAGTTTGTAATTTCTTAAACTTAATTAGTCCGTAGTAGTTCATATTCGCCGTAATCACCACGGTTGAAGAGGAATGCTAGATTACAGTAACAAACTTATACTATAGATATATATCTTGCGTATTAAACTCTGCTCTCTGTTGCTGGGGTGGATATTTGTCATTTGTTACTAACAAATTAAAATCATACACATGTGTATACTAAACATTTTCGTGTACATTACTATTTTTTTAGGACAGGGTTACAAACGAGCACACAGTCCACCTGATGGTAAGTGGTTGCTGTGACCCATAGACATGGAATATTTCGTTTCCAATAAAAAGGGTCTCCGGTTTTCTACACTCATATGAAACACAGCAGGGTGAAGCTGCTATTTTACGCTGGTATTTTGCGAGAGCGTGGTTCTTCCCCGGTCGAGCCGACCCATTCTTGCTACAACTATACAATTAGTATAGCTGCAGCATGGATCTACCACGTCTACTAGTTTAAAAACACCTGTTATTTTCTGAGGTACTTAATAATTATATTTGCTTAATTCTTTACTATATTTACTACATTACTTTAGTAATAGTATGCACTTGTTTTGAATTATTAACAATTATTAATAACCAGCGATTCGTTCCTGCTTCGCCAGGGTAGGGTTTATAATGCGGCGTTGTTTAGATTTATGATGATCATTATTTACAATTATTTCAATTCTCAAATAAATATCCAAGTTTTTTGGATTAAATGTATCTTAGATCATTTCTGGCATTGCTCTCTATCATTTCGTCAAGTTATATTACAATTGGTCCAGCCATTCCAAAGATTAGCTGGGACAGACAAACAATTCAAAACTGGTTATTCATAGCATGCAAATATATAACAAAATCGATTCTCCTCAATACTTTCTAATGATGGCCACAAAAGTAAATCGAATTTTAATTCTCCTGACGGCAGACTCAAATTGCCGATTTGGGGAAAAAAACACTATAAAAACCTTAAACACTTTCTTAGTGATTCGCACTGAAATTCGCTAGTAGTATCGGTATACATAGTATGCATAGAAGTCTTTAGATTTTATCAAAGATTTCATTGTATATTACAAGACCGGCAATTCAGAACAAAAACTGTGTCACAGCTGTGGATCACACAGAAAAGGAATACGCTCGCATAGGTAAATATACATTAGAGCCTTACAAAAGTCCACTGCTGCACATAGGCCTCGGCAAAGAATTCCACAAAGCACGATTCTGAGCCTGCATTCATCGACTTCCTAATGACGATCATTATAATAATGCTGTGTTTCATATGAGTGATAAAAACCATGGAACCTTTTTTGTTAGTAGTGATTCATTCCATCTTGCCCTTAAGGGTGATAATGCAATTGAATTCTGATTAATGATCGAGGGTAGATGTCCGCTCTAAGCCACAGCATCCGCTTACTATCAGGTGGACTGTGTGCTTGTTTGTCACTATGCTTCTAAATCTGTTCGCTGCTGGATATGGGATAGGCAAATATACCTACTACTAATCTTATGGCACCTTTGGAGTGGTATAAAAGCTAATTTATTATCATCATCATCATCATTACATCCCTTCACAAGTCCACTGCTGAATTGCATGTCTTACCGGGTATTCAGTCCATCTAGTGGAGGACCACTCCATACTTAGCCTACCGGTAAGGGGCTGCCACTCGAGAAATTTGTTTCCCTGTCGGTTTTCGGTACATTACCACATTAGCTTATGCCTAACGAGAAAATGTGTTACAATCTGCCATGAACTTTGTTAATATTTTCATATTATAATTAATAGAATCAGGCGTTACTTTGCGGAAGTCCATTATATTAAATTTGACAAAAAAATACTTTGCTCCGCTAGATAAAATAAAAATCATTTTATTTTATCTAGCGGATGTACGCAAAGTAATTTTTTGTCAATTTTTTTTATTTTCATATTATCAAGAATACCTCTTCTAAGTTCACGTATTGTGACGGGCAACTACGGAACCCTACCTGTGCGTGGCCTGACATACACTTGGCCAGTTTTTTATATTTATATTACTTTACTTAGTGATAAGGTAATTCTTATATTTATTAAGGGTCACAATAAAATAATACACAATAAAAGTCTTGTGATAATAATATTTCTTCAAGGTTTTCGTATACGTATCTACGGCTTACTCTAACACACATAAAGCAGTTCTGGAAGAAATTGTGTACCCACCTCCTGCTTCAATCGATGAAGTATACAGAATTCTGGAACAGGAAGTAACCAATGAAGATCAACTAAAAAAACTTATTTGTAAGCAAAATTATATTTGTTTATTAAATTTAATATCAAAACTATCTTATATAGTATAGTAGTAGTACAGTAACGCACTGCTGAATGAACAAACGAATGTTTCTAACCCGTCTTTCTTAAACATCCTTAAGCCTGCTCCCTAATAACTTACAACCTTGCAATATGGTCGATTGTCACCCTCACGGTTGCGATGACTGCGACGATTGGTTACATTGGAGAGTGCTACCAGCTACCGGCGTTCGTTAGGTGGTGATTGGTTGCATGTTTTATCGCATTACTTAGTCGCACGCTATTTAAATGGTAAGCGGTTGGCGTCAGCGAGTTGTATAAATAGATGTTTCGTGTAGAGACGAAACACGTGTCATATTATTGACGGTGGTGTATTCCCCAATGTAGTGGTGTTGGGAATTGTGGCGCTGGGATTAGTAGTGACGGGGATAGTGCACGCAATTGAGAAAGGAAAGGCAGGAGGTGCTCTTCAAGCTAGGTAAGACACATAATTTTATTTTATGGCGCGGATCTTAGCAAAAATTAATATTTATTAATTTTAAAAAAATATTTACTCAACCAAACTATCAACCTGGTGGGAAGTGGATTATGCAGTTCATTGGTTCATCTCGTCTCAAAGGTGAATGTGTCTCACTACCAGTAAAAAGGGTCTCTACTTCTCGCCACTTACCAGACGAAACACCGAATCACTACATTGTTATTGTGTTAGAACTTGAAGCTCTTATATTCAAGGCGATTTCCCATTCATGCTGCAGGCATAATAAAACTGCAGTGTTTTTAGCACATTATAATTTTACTATAGTGTATTATTTATAACGATTTTTTAATTTATATAATGTTTCTTAAATTATTTATTTAAAATATTACTTACAAAAATAAAAATAAAACATATAAAAGAATAGCAATTCTCAAAAAATCACTGTCTGGTACTGTTTCAGGTGGCAGACCAAATACTTATACCTTCTCTAAAGCACTTGCGGAGAGTCTCGTGAGTCAAGAACATGGTGACTTTGCTACAATAATTATCAGACCATCTGTTGGTATGTTTAACATATCTATTTATAGAAAAATATTTCTACGTCATAAAAGTAGCATATCAAAAAGCTTTAGACACACTTTACTCATTTATTTAACACTGGTAAGTTAAACATCACCGTAAAGTCTAAAGATATTTACTGTTAAATGTGATAATAGACCACTAAATGTTAATTTTTTTTTATGAATATGGCGGAATTTCCGCTAACTGCATTGGATCTCAGACCACTAAGGTCACCAACAACTTGAATTTCATGCTATGATAAAAGTTTTAAGGCACCAACATGTTTTGAACTAGTCACATGATCAGTTTTACATTTATTTGCTCATTTCAAAGGAGGACGAGAAAGCAAAGACAGGTTTTCTACCGACTCTACTTCTAACTTGTCTTAATATGTGATAATATGTAATAGTCTACAGCTGGGCCTCTCCAACTGTAGAGAGGACTTGCCTTAATTATCCAACCATGATAGGCCGTACCAATCTTTTTTTGCCCTTGACACCCGTCGCTGGTTACACGATCGTCTATCGTAAGCCGTAAGATCCTTTTAATAAACCACGGGGTTTAACCATAGTCATTTCACTCATTAAATATAAAGCGGACACAAATCAAAAACTGCACTTTTACAGCACGACCAAAACAAAATTTAAAACATAATATTTTAATTTTAAAACATAGGATTTTTTACATTTTTATGCGATAGTATATCTATATTAAGAGGCGTAGAACCCATACCGTGTAGTAGGATATTATTATTGTTGAATTACCCCCAGATTAAAAAAAAAACTCAAACATTCTGCCCATTTTATTTTTTAAATTCAAAATGCTTAGTAATGCGTTATTTTAACCGACTTTACCTTGCACGTACACATTCGTAAGGGTCGATCTACAAGGCAAAAACATTGATGCCCATAAATTACATTCAATTTGTGATAATTTCAAATAAAAATAGAAGCCTTATTTACTCGTTCAAAAACTGCAATAATGGTATGTCATTATTTATATACTAGCTGTTCCCCGCGACTTCGCCCGCGTATAATTTAGGGTTGTAATTATGTTGCGCCAAACCCTAATTCTTTTTCTAAAATATAAGTAGTCTAAGTTACTCCTTATAACTTAAGCTATCTAGCAGTGAAACTCCCGTCGAAATCGATCCAGCCATTTCGGAGATTAGCCGGAACAAACAGTCAGACAGACAAAAATTTTAAAAATTGTGTTTTTGTTATAAGTACCATATATACTTTCATATGCATTTCGTAAAAAGCTGTTATTTTAACATTATAAACGGACACTTCTATTTTATTTATTTGTATAGATTTGACCTTAAGTTTAAAATTTGGCTACTCTTAAAAAATAACTCTGTATAGTTCTATACAAAATAGATTCATTTCAAAAGAATGGCATTGTTGTATAAAACAGTATGATTTTGTTTACTTGATGTTTTATGAGAAACGGTCAGTAGTGCTGTCATCCGCATACCAATGAATGTTACCAATTTGCAACATATCATTGATTCATTGATTAATTACAGCCCTTCACAAGTTCACTGCTGAACATAGGCCTCCTCCAGGAATGCCACAAAGCACGGTCCTGAACCACCTGCATCCATTGACTTCCTGTATATCTTACCAGGTCATCACTCCATCTAGTGAGGGGACGCCCTACACTTCGCCTGCGAGTACGAGGCTGCCACTCGAGAACCTTTCTTCCCCATCGGTTGTCGGTTCTTCGAACTTAATGGCCGGCCCATTGTCACTTTAGTGTACTCATCTTTTGGGCTATCATTGATATGCAGAAGAAACAGCGTTGGTGATAGCACGCAGCCTTGTGGAACATTAACGTAAATAGGCTTGTTTTCGGGAAATGAAACGTCTACTACGACCTTGTTGCCACGATCTGCCAGAAAACTGGTGATTCAAACTCGATCGAAGGCCTGCGCAGTGTCCAAACTAACGGCCAATACCATAATAATCTAATGCCTCCACCCATCTATGAGTCAGGTAAACCAGAAGAGCATTCGCTGGTCGACCCCGACCAAAACCGTATTGACGGTTAATCAGCTGGTATCCTGGCTTTCCCAAACGTGGCACTTTTGTATAATTAATTTTCTTGTTTTTTTGAGCTGTGATCCTTTTCCATATCTTCACTCAGGTCGCAACACACAAAATAGTTGTTTACACTGAAGTCAGTCAGAAAAGTACACAATTGCAAAAAGGGCGGTCATGTTTTTTGTTAATTTAAGCTAAAAGGATGGGTGCCTTTTTTGCACTATAAAATATCATCGATTTAGGTCATATTTTTGCAATAAAACAATTTTGATATTTTTTGTACTTTTGGCCCTTTTGTATTTAAAGAGCGACTTTTTGCGATATCCACGGTACGAAACGGTTTGATGGACATTTACACCATCACCACCACCATTTTTAATATATTTACTGAGTTTTTATGTTACTGACATTTTAGATTTGCAGCACTCACCACTATTCACGAGGTAACTGAGGTATACACCGCTCTGACATCATAGTTAACTCTTATTATATATTTCATTTAGCTCTTTATTAAATTAGTACTTTTGATCCGGTATACGCTGAATGAACATATTAGCTTGAAGTCTTGTTGTGGATTGCTTGGTTAGGGATTTGAATTTCTTGATTCTAGGTTGATTATTTTTGTACTCGTTGTAAATTTTACAGCAAGCGAGCAACCCACCAATGAATTAGTTAATTTTAAAATGATTATTTGACTTGCTCAAAATTATATAGGCCATCAACACGAATTAAAATTGCGCGATGTAATATAGACTCCATAACTTCAGTATTTGTCCTGACCTACCTGTATCCATCGACTTTCTGCATATCTTTCCAGCTCTTCACTCCATATAGTAGGGGCCGCCCTACACTTTGCCTACCGGTACGAAGCTTCCACTCGACAACCTTTATTCCCCATCGGTTTTCAGTTCTTTGAGCTATATGATTGGCCCATTGCCCCTTCAGCTTACTAGACCATATTATTAGGTAGCTCAGGACCATGCTTTGTGGCATTCGTTGGAGGAGGCCTATGTTCAGCAGTGGACTTGTGAAATGTTGTAATGATGATGATGATGAACTTTAAAAACAAGAGGAGGCATTTTTTAGTGGGCAGGCAGTGGAATGTATTTGGGCTGTAAATTACTATACTATCTGATAGTTATCATTCACCACCTTGGTCTCAGTAGAAAAAACTATCTTATCTTTTTCCGCCGTGTAATAAATACATTTTCTTCTGGTCTGAAGCATAAAGACAGCCAGTATTAGAACAAAATATAATTATAATAAAAATCTATCTTTACCCTCAAATACGGTACCGCATCTTCTAGCTTTATTTTTGATTGAAGTTGGTTGCAGTATACTTACCATCAGGTGGTCTGAAACCCGTTTCTTACTTAAGTTAAAAATCAAACAGAGCGAAACGAAGCTAGTAAAGTTCTATATTTTTAATTTCAGTATCAGCAAGCATCCATGAACCACTTACGGGATGGCTGGATAACTGGTTCGGTGCCACAGCCCTTCTCGCCACCATTGCTAAAGGTCTTACTCGTATTCTACTAAGTAGGAGCACTAACGTTTTAGACCTAATTCCTGTTGACTATGTGTCTAATCTCATCGTTGCGGCAGCTGCTAAATGCAAAAGGTACTATAACATGTTTTTTAAAGTTTTGTAGTTACGTCAAAATGAAATCCTATTTTCTATAACCTATTTAGATTATCTGGCAATTTAAGAAGTATATAAGTACTAGACTACTACTCATATCAGTATGTTAACAGGCCACTGTCCTAAATGTACCTGGATTTTCTTAATCCTGATTGAGGCCCTGTTAGTAGGAATGATGGTAGCTGAGGATACTGAAAATATTCGAATGAGAGCTTTCACAATTTGTTTCTACCACGCAAGTCCGGTGTCTCTTTGGTATGAGGTGAAAAATTTGACAGATTCAATGCCGGGGACGTTAAATTATTTGAAATATGTAAAAACCTAATGTTTTTTGTTGAATATTAGTTATACTTAGTTATACATCAATATGATTCAAAATGGATAATAAATAAAACGTACAGAAATTCCTAAATTAGATGACTGAAATCTCCAAGAGAGTTGAAAAATGTACAAACAGTTAAAGAACACACTATTATTGCGTTGTTTTGTGTTATTTGTGTGATAAATTAAAAACTAAGAGAATTTTTAATGCAAATATTAGTACATACCAGTAGTTTTTATTTCTTTGTTTTTGATTGAATGACCGTACCGCGTAGATTTTATAGGTAGGTAATTTATGTCCTAATTCTTATATCTTTAATTATTAAAAATAATAATAAAGTAAAATTATATAAATTACCAAATTATAACATAATTTTGGTGGAACAGTAAATGCGTAACCGAAAATATGCGACAAATTTTAACCATGATATAACATATAATAACATAGACGCTCACGCCTGTCATCCAGAGGGGTAGAGAAGGTAGTGACTACGGACTTTGTATTGCCACGATCCTGACACACCTCTTTCGCCTTCTTTACATTTATATATTATTTCTTTACATTTATATATTCTGTCGGAAACAAAATTGGAATTGGCATTCTGCAACATAGATTTTCTTTGTTAGTCTTTCCTCGTTCATACTTTCTACGTGACCAAACCTCTATTGTTTTTTACCTTCTGTTATTTAATTTCACGATGTAACGGATTCTAATTTTAATACACAACTAGAATTGTCAGACTATTGGATAATAAATTCAAAGTCAGGTATCGATTTAATTTAAAAAAAAATCGCACTCCGTAAATGCAAAACCATTTCTGACAAATTATCTAAAATGTTACATTTAATTTGCGCACTCGCACACGCTGAAAAATTGTCCTTTTTAAAAATGTGTGAATATTTTTTAAATTATTTATTACGCCATTTCAGATCAAAAGAATTAACTGTCTACAACAGTTGTACTAGTGATGTAAATCCATTAACAATGGCTGAATTCGGCAGGCTTATTACTGAAGACAGCGTGAAACACAATTTCCGTAAGTTTATAATAAAACGGTAATCAAAACGAATGTAAATCATAGTAAAGCAATAAACACATAATCATTTTCTTCATCAATCATTTCGTTTTTCAATCTTTTAATTGGAAGTAAAGACTAGAAATGAGTTGGGGGGCGACTCGAACTTTAGGCCTAGTCAGTTTGAAAAGGCTATCATGTAGAGGATGTCATGGGGGTCATGGTTGAATAGGGGCAAAAATTCTTATTACACTCCTAGGGGGTCAAAATGGCCAAAAACCAAAAAATTGGGGGTGGTTCGAACTTTAGGCATAGTCAGTTTGAATAGCCTTTCATGTAGAGGATGTCATGGAGCCATGGTTGAATAAGAGAAAAAGTTCTCATTACACTCCTGGGAGGTCAAAATGGCCAAAAACCAAAAAAATTAAATTTCTTATTTAGGCAGAACTGCCTCATTCTGAGGTTCTAACGCAGTTTTTACTTCCCGCATCCCACTTGTAACTAATAAATACAAGTATATATGTGTGTGTTCGTTAGTTCTCCGATTAAGGCACCGTTCAATAGGCATATTTATAAGTAGGACATTATTTTCATCATTCATTAAATACAGTAAAATACAGGGGTAAATGACGCACACGTTTTACTCAAATAATTACAGTTAAAGTCAATGTTAAATAATAAGTTAACCCAGCATAGCCTGGGTAGCATAATATATTAATGTGGCGTCATTTAATTTTTTTCAATATCAAGTTTTCGATTTCATATTTTATATGCTTTACTTCATGTTTTTCGGATAAAACATAACCTTGATCACATCTGACAATGCTGTCTATCTCATGAAGTATCATCACATTCGAATAAGCCATTCCTATGCTTAGTCTAGACGGACAGAGACATGCGAATAAAGTACCACAAATAATTCATGTTCCTGAGCTCGATAAAAGACGGTTATTTCGATATGACACAATTTTTTCATTCGTTCATTCATTACAGCCCTTCACAAGTCTACTGATGAACATTGGCGTTCCCCAATGTCCTGAGCCACCTGTATCCATCAACATTCTGTATCGCTTAGCACGTCATCACTCCTTCTGTATTTATATGTATTTAATCTAATTTGTTACTGTTTTCAGATGAAATAATTTGCCCAACATTGTTTTTTACGCAGTCAGCATGGTTGCTAAATATTTTAACACTAATCATGCAAATAATACCAGCTTTCATAGTTGATTGTTGGCTACGTTTAACAGGAAGACCACCCAGGTATGTACTTAACGTTTTTTAACTTATTTCTATTTTTATAGAATGAGGGTTACGAACGCACACAAAGTCTGCCTACTAGTACGTGAATGTTGTGACCCATTTACTTAAAATAATGGTTCTCTAACGGTAGTAAAAATGAATAGCCTACTACCGGGAACACTACTTCTACAAGTTCGATATGAGCTGGTGGTATTGTATTTTTATTTTGTCCTCCAAAACCGTCAGCAATAATCAGATGTGTATGACGACAATAAAACAGTTTTGACCCATTTGAAAAAGTCTGGATATACAAGAAAACTAGATGTTTGGGTACCACACGAGCTCACTGAAAAAAAAATCTAATGAATCGTGTACCCATTTGCGATTATTTATTGAAACGTAATGAAACTGAACCATTTTCGATTAATCACTGGTGATGAATAGGGGATCAATTACGACAAGAACGTGCAAGAAAGATCATGGCCAAAGGGTGGTCAAGCTCCATAGACTGTAGCGAAACCCGGATTAATACGAAATAGGTGATGCTGTGTGTATGGTGGGATTGGAGGGGCATTGCTTGTTATTGAGCTTTTACCGCTGGGTAAAACCATCGATCATATTAGATAAAACATAGAAAAGCACGCCAGATTAGTGATAATAGAAGGACACCTTAGAAATCCGTGTTGAGTGTTTGGTAGTTCCTTACATATCACGGGATATATAACATCATAAACGGTTTTCTCAAAAACTTTGCCAATAGTATTTAAAATTAAAATGCCCCTATAATTTTCAATTTTAGTTTTAGTTCCCTTTTAATGTACTGGAACTATGTGTGCTCTTTTCCAGATATCCGGAAATACACCTTCGCTAAGAGACATATTAAAAATGATAGCGATAGGGACACAAAAAGTATTAGCACAGTTACGCCAAAATAAAGGAGAATGACGTCACATCCTGCTCCTTTAGAAATATCAAGTAGTCTTTTCTCAATAGTGGATGTAGGGATAAACAGTTTAGATATATTATCATATGTAGAAGTGGCATTGCCTTCTAATATTTTATCAGAAGGGTCACCGAAAACGTTTTTGAAAAAAGTATTAAAAGTATCACATATATCTTTACCACCCGTTACTTTATTGCCGAGGTATGATAATTGTTTTGGATGATTCGATCCACCACTCAAAGACTTAACGTATGACCAGAATAACCTCGGTTTATATTTAATGGCTTCCTCGGTACGTTGAGTATATATAGCAAAGCAAGCATCCTGAACCCAATTTTGTCGTTTACGTAATAATAAAAACTCGTCATAATCTAACAAATTGCCAGACCGTTTCCATTTTTGTGTTCTTTTGATTTTCTTTAATTATTTTTATTAAAGCGGGACTGTACCACATAGGGTATTTATATTTATTATGATAGGACTTAAGTGTTACGATTATAAAAGTTATCATAAGCCTCTTGGACCGTGCTAGATCGTAATTGTGTTCGCCAATCAATGCTATTTAGAGTTTCATATAGTTTCTCATAATTGACTTCATTAAAATCATATTTAGGCTTAGATGCTTCAGTAAACGGTGTGATTGAGACGTCTAAAATTTCCAGTACGGAGGATGGGCGCGGTCAACCTTTATAAGGGGCGAGTTGCAAATTGCGACTTCAAGTGGAAGATTTGAAAATGCCAAATCTAAAGTATTACCGGCATAATTTTTAAAACTGTTATATTGCTTGAGACCGAGAAAGCTCAGTTCATCTGTTAACCTTACACCAGCACTTTTAATTTCAGCATTGCCTGTATTTAAATGTGTTGGGCCCTGAGTACTCCATGAGATGTATGGAATATTAAAATCACCGATAAATAAAATATTTTTACCAGTACTATTTAAGATTACTATAGATTTTAGTATTTGCAGTAAGTAATCTATTTCAACTGGAATATGTGATACATTAGGAGGGATGTAAATCGCAATAATGTACAAATCTGCAGTAGTGGAAATTGCATGTGCCGGCACTAACAGCATTAACAGTATTAATTTATTAAGTCTGAGCACATGGGCAGAATTGGCGAGAAACTAGTTCGCCTTTCTTCGGGAACTCGTGCATTCTGGTCTCTTGCCAAGGCTGTCCAAGGGAATTTCTGTAAGCCATCACTACCATCTCTGCACAGGGAGGACGACTCACTGGCCCACGACGCAAAAGGGAAAGCCGACCTTTTAGGCTCCCTTTTTGCGTCCAACTCGACTGTTGATGACGGAGGGAACACAGCGCCGACCATCCCGCTGTGTGAGTGCTCCATGCCGGATGTGCGGTTCTCACAGTGCTCGATTCGCAGAGCACTCCTCTCCCTGGACATCCACAAGTCGAGTGGGCCTGACGGAATCCCCCCAATTGTGCTGAGGACGTGTGCTCCGGAGTTGGCACCGGTTCTAACGCGTCTTTTCCGGTACTCCTACTCCCTAGGCGTAGTCCCGAAATCATGGAAGACAGCTTTTGTCCACCCGATCCCTAAAAAAGGCGACCGCTCAGACCCGTCCAACTACAGGCCTATAGCCATCACCCTCTTGTTCTCCAAAATAATGGAATCCATTATAAACTGCCACCTCATGCGGTACCTTGAGGATCACTAGCTGATTAGTGACCGCCAATACGGTTTTCGTCGAGGTAGATAAGCTGGTGATCTTCTGGTCTACATAACTCATAGATGGGCGGAGGTAGTACAGTCCAAGGGGGAGGCATTGGCCGTTAGTTTGGACATTGCGAAGGCCTTCGATCGGGTTTGGCACAAAGCGCTTCTTTCGAAGCTCCCTTCCTGTGAGCTTCCCGAGAAGTTATGCAATTGGATCACTAGCTTTCTTGCAGATCGGAGCATCAAGGTCATTGTAGACGGTGCATGCTCCGACTACAAGCCTATTAACGCTGGTGCTCCACAAGGCTGTGTGCTATCACCAACGCTGTTTCTTCTGCATATCAATGATATGTTGCAAACCGGTAGCATTCATTGTTATGCGGATGACAGCACTGGTGATGCTCTATACACCGGCCGTGCCAATATTTCTCGGGAAAACGTCGCCGAGTACCGCAACAAACTTGTGTCTGAAGGCGAGTCTTTGCTGGACAAAGTCTCAGATTAGGGCCGCCTAAATCTAGTCCAGTTTAATCCTCAGAAGACATAAGTTTGCGCGTTTACCGCTAAAAAGAACCCCTTTGCCGTATCTCCTCAGTATCAAAGTGCTTTCCTCTTTGCCTCAGCCAGTATCGGAATCCTCGGCGTCGACATATCGAGTGACGTGCAGTTTCGTGGTCACTTGGAAGAGAAGGCCAAATTGGCCTCTAAAAAGCTTGGCGTGCTCAGCAGAGCGGGACAGTATTTCATGCCGGCACAACGCCTGCAACTTTACAAGGCGCAGGTTCGGCCTCACATGGAATACTGTTCCCATCTCTGGGCAGGGGCTCCCCATTACCAGCTCCTTCCACTTGACCGCATCCAGCGCAGAGCGGCTCGAATCTTCGACGACCGAGTCCTTTCCGATCGGCTCGACTCATTGGCGCTGCGAAGAGATGTTGCATCTCTTTGCATTTTTTTTCGCATTTACCACGGGGAGTGCTCTGAGGAATTGTTCGGATTAATCCCAGCCGCCAAATTTCACGAACGCACATCGCGGCAGAACTCTCGATACCATCCACACCATCTGGATGAGTGGCGGTCCACCACTGTGCGATTTAGAAGATGTTTTCGTCCTCGCACGAATTCCTTGTGGAATCGATTACCATCAGCGATTATTCCGGACCGATACGACTTAGGGACTTTCAAGAAAAGGGCCTACTCCTTTTGAAAAGGCCGGCAACGCATCTGCAATTCCCCTGGTGTTGCAGTTGTTCATGGGCGGCGGTAGTCACTTACCATCAGGTGAGCCGCATGATCGTTTGCCCCCTCTCCTATAAAAAAACATATCAGGCGGTGAGCAGTTATTCAGACATTCAGTGACTAAGGGAGTTGCACATAACTCATTACGCACTAAGATCATGACCCCGCTTCCTGTCTTTTTATCGCATGATAATAAGTCTCGATCACACCGAAAAACTTCATACCGATCATCACATAATTCTCTGTGGAAAATCCCGTTATGCAACCATTTCTCAGTTATTACAATAATATCATAATCATTTCTTAAAATCTGTTGTCTTAATTGCAAACATTTAGTTCTCAGCCCCCGTGTATTTTGATAATATATTTTTCAATCTTTATTTTTATTTAAAGTATCGAACTTAGAACTTAGAATGCTACCAATTGTTTACAACTTATAGTGTTACGGCTCACAGCTGCCCCTGCACAGGTCGCCTTGGCTAGGGCCCATAGTAGCCTCCTCGACGGGCAGCCGAGGTTTCGGGCTCAAGTGGCCTTATGGAAAATGACCTATCATAATACAAAGTAAGGAGAAGGCTAGGAAAATAAATGGTACGTACCTGGATCTGAATCTAAGACCACCCCAAGGCTCGGTCAGGCCGTAGGTAGAGTAGATGCATGTAAAGTAGTGTTTAGTGGTGTGTATACGTGGGTGACCTGGGCCAGCTGAAGTGACCTGGCAGCGCGACGGTTTCCATTCTGCCCCACAATGCTGCATCACTCTATCAGGCGTCCACCATGGACAGTTTCTTTCTTCATTGTCACTTTTTCAGTCTATTAACTTTATTGTACATTTAACTAACTTCAACTCGCCTAATTCAACATTCATCGTAGAATCGAACACGTGATACCCGACACAGTAACGGACAGTAGTTCAAAGTTCAACATTCAATGTCCCGGATTCATTTATCACCAAATTACAAATAGGGAACTAACGCGATCTCTTCATGAGTCACACGGTTCAGCGTTAAACACAACTAAGTTCCTTCGTTCGATACAAAACACCACGCCACAATAAGAATCCAAAATCAACCTAGATGACACGTAAACTAGCTACCGAGTCAACACACAAAAGGCTCTCAACGCGACGGTATAACTAAACGATGATTTCCAAACA